ATACTCCTAAGGTCAAAAAGTTGTACAGCTTAAAAGCACCTCAAGTTCGTACGTAGAGTCCGAGTCATAGGCATTCAGTTCGCCACAAGCAAGGAAAGTGGCAGTCACTCGGTGCGGCCCCTCTAGTGTGTTGCAGTTGTCATCTAAAATAATACATAAATAGAACGCGTATCATATTTTATAAAGTTGAGGCCGTATAAGTGATCGAGTAAAGGAAAATTTATATTCGGCGTCATAGCCGGGGGTATTCTTAAATTCTGGCATATGACGAAGGCTTCTAATGCAAAAATACACAAGGTATATATAAACTTTTAATAAAAATGGCTAACCAATACTGGAATTTCTACTGCATCTGGGCTTGCAGCAAGTAACAGTAGCAAAATACTGTTTTAAATGGGAGTACAGTAAAGTTACATCTCTTCCACGGAAAATCTTAGCAACAAAAGTTGCGCCTTCTTCTAAAACCAATAAGGATATATTTAAGGCAGAAAGAAGAAGTTGCGCCTGATAGTATTCATCAACATCGGGCAGGCCGGTTACTTAAATTCTAAATTAAAGCTAAAAGTCATAAAATAAAAACAATTTATACCGTCCGGAGCCCCGTCGCAAACAACTAACTCAGCTTTCCTTCCATGGCAGTACTCCATGATAGTCTTAACAGTACACTCTTTAGTTATGTCTCCTTAATCATTTTATTTAGTCACAAGTAAATCTATAGTTTAAACACGCACCTTGAATTTGTGTGACCCCGGGTAGAGGCGCCATAGGTTGCAAATCAACGGCAATAACTTTGTAGTCTGAACGCCCTCTTTCAACACTTTCAGAAGAAACACTCTGTAAAGCAAAAATTCGACTTAAAACTTGACTCCAACCACCTGGAGCCGCACATAGATCAATCGCACGTTGTACGCCTTCAGAAAGAAAACCTCTTTAAAAATTACTTAACGCTTTAAGTATCTAGAAAGTTTATACCTGAAAAAATATTAAACTTTTCGTTAATTTGAAGTAGTTTGTAGGCACTTCTTGATCTCCAACCCTCCTTTTTAGCAAGTCGAAAGTACGCGTCTCTTTTATCTTTAGAAAAACCCATAATTTCTATAATTCGTTAAGGTTCCATGGCAGTCCTTTGAAACTAGAATAGCATTTAAGTTGAGTTCGCTAATAAACCCCCTTCTAAAATCAGGCACATGTTTACGTTGATGTTGACTATTTCCCATTAAGCGATACCAGCACAATTTACAAAAGAACCGCATAGCAAAAAGAGCTCTTGGAATGAGGGCAACAGCTTGTTATCTTTCTGATTTATTTTAGTTAAAATTTGAGGGTAATTTTAGATGCTCAACCATCAGAGACCAGTTAAGAGAGTCGCGATTGGATATCAAATCCATAACCGTGAATAGGCGTGTCACTGCTCCTCACCGCTGAGCTACGGCGACAAAGTAAACCTATTGCGCTATCAATTAGTAGTTGTTAAAAAACTGGTCAAAATTTAGTAACTTATATTTTTTTAAACACCTTCTGTCACTATCTTAGTGTCATTTTAATACTGTCTCTTGTTTTTCTATTTTCCTTGAAGCTCTCTTTTCTGGGTAGCGAATTAATAGTAAAGAAAGTCTGTCTAAGAGCAGTTTTCTTGTGGTTTTTCCGCCACACCATAAATGGTTGCGCTAAGTCTCAGTCTTTCGGGATAATCCATATTGGGCACCCGCGCTTAAACCCCTTTCAAGCAAAGCAATTCAGATTAGCGGTTTAGTTGTTTGCTTAATACAAAAGTTTATCAGAGTATTAAAGTTGGGTTTTTCTACCCAACATTTTTTCACTATGTATCAAGTTCATAATATTAAAATAGTATAGTTATTGTCTGATTAACAAGCCTCGGTAACCTATTTACTTTTCGTCAGGATTAACAATAATTAGAGTTTATTAAAACAGTTCAAGTAAAACCCTTCCGGGTTGCTTTGCTTATATAGCTGCACTAACCTCACGTCATAAACTTGTTTGTTTAACGACTAAATTTGAAGTATTACTGCTCTGCGCCCTATGATTACGTAGTTTCAAGTCAAAATGTAATGCATATATTAAAAGTGATAAGAAGACAGCAAGTACCATTTGAATTCCTTCTATCAAACACACCGAAAATTCCAAGTCAAAGGAAAATATAAAAAATATGAATATATAGATTTGTAAAAACAACGACAAAAGTAAAAATAAAAATAAAAAGGAAACCAAAAAATAACTAGAAAAATTTAATTAGAACAACCGTTGTCTACTTTGATTATGTTAAAATAAATATATTATATAAAGTAATTTATAAATATCTAGATAGACTGAAAATTCATGTCTGATTGGATGGTTTATACAAACCAATTGTTTTAATAAAATGAACGGAGCCTGTATTATGTTAATTATGCGAAATCTTATTATAACCTCGCGCTAACCTAGTTAAGTTTTATATAGAAGGGAGGGTTGGCTGGCATTTTACTGGTTGACCTTCAGATTGCTTTAGAAGGTATGTAGTCCACTTATAAAGTTGGATTAACGGCAAGTAAATGTTTGGTTATTGGTATTCAATAGTTTGTGTAAAAATTTTAAGTCAAAGAAGTCTATAATTATAAATTAACAGTTTAACAGCTTATCTGTTCATTAAGAACAGAGGAATATTCCAGAAACCATCTTTATTTCTTATTAGAACCTTATACAAGAATTAAGATTGAATAGATTCTTGACCTTTTATCTTCCTATAAGCCCTTTAAGTTAAACCTACCAGTTTTTATATTTACGGCCATAGGGCTCTTATTCTCGTGATTTATTAATGCAGTACTAAAGGTAGTTTTATTTAACTAAGCTCAACAAGACGTCATGATTCGTGGTTACTGTAACAGTTTGTATTTCCGTGTGTAGGTTGTCATTATAAGTTAGAGATTTTTTTTAATCTTGTTATTTTCCACCGATATTGTAATACCCTCTTTTATGATCCTTCTATTGGTCTTAAAAGCATTTACTTCACTGAAAGTAGTTAGTAACCAAAGTGTACAGTAAAATTTTTTGGTACCGTTGTCGTCATGTAGGGAATAATTGTTTTTGTAACGTGTATAATATATTTATTTGACATCGCTAAAGCAAATTTTTATGTGCGAAGTTTATTTAACCACTGCCTAATAACCAAAGAAGTAGCTCCTGCAACCGAAAATAGCTTTTATTGCATTTGACGCGGTACCATACTAAAAACCGCTAGGCCCTAATGGTGTAACCCACAGCATGCCCCAACGCCTGCGCGAGTCTCCAATAATAGCCTTAGTCCCACCCATTAATTATTTTATTTAGTACTGTGATTTCCTGTACGATGAACAACTAAACCGGGTTTTTGCTTTCCTAAATTAGTGTCCTTTTTCAAACCCTAAAAAATACCGCTCGATAAGTCTTTTGTCATGTATTTGCAAAATAGCTGAAGACAATATCAAAAAGATTCCGAAATTTTGTGGGGGTTCTCATCAAATGCCAGAGTTGCAGTTTAAATTCGGAAGGAGTCACTCTACTACTTAGTCGATCTTGTGTTTCCCTTAACACATTTACGAAGGGGTTCCACAATAATAACTGGACATGTGCATTATTCTAAGACGTATTGTGTTTACCCTCACACGAGGTCTTAATGAAAATCTAGTGACCATCAGAAGATATAAAACAAGATGCTTTTCACTGGTGAAATCGCGGCCCACGCGAAAACTCAGAGGACTAAACCAAAAAGACTGTTCCTGTCCTCCGGGAAGAGCTTACATGCATTTGCACTACTTATCAAATTTCGGCTGTGCACGTGACTTTCTATAACTTCATACCAATACCCACTCTAGCTGCACAGATGTCGAACAGGGTATGGCACGCTGGATTTTTAAGAAAAAACTGTCAACTCTGCAGTTACCAAATTATTTTCTTCGACTTCTTTGATTTTTCTGCATAAAGAGATAGTTGTCACGGTATAAAAGCTAGCTCATCTCTAACAGAATGGGTTATGTAAGTCTTACGTTTGCTAGAGTTTTGTCTAAGATCCAAAACAAATTCTGTTTTGATCTTAACTCTTTTTATAGCTTAAATTACTAAATTTGAATTACCAAAAACAGAATAATTTTTTGCTTTAACGTTAATACTTATTTATTTAGCAGTAGTGTTTTTCACATTAGAAGGTAATCTATACATTTATTATTTAAATGCAACTGCTGGCGCACATAACGTGTTTTATGGTGCATGTTTTCATTCTTTTAGTGGTGTACGCCCCATAAGTACAGTATTGGTTTTTTACAAGTTCTTTTAGCTTATTGTGTCCAAATATGGATTATAAATATTGTTCTAATAGGTTGTTGTAGAACCCATTAGAAATACACCTCTTGATACCGAAAAAATAACCGTAATCTTATTTTTTCCCACACTTTTCTCTTACGTGAAACTTAACAGACGCTCCCTCTTTAAATTTGTTAGGAGATAACTCTATTAATTGGGATCGAGCGCGAAGACCATAACTTTTAAGTAAATTACCTAATTAAGTAATCCAATCTTTTACTCGGTCTTATGAAAACTATTAAATGACTCTTACTAATAACCTACTTTTTGTTATTGCCATTTTTTTTGGTGTTGGGGCGTCAATTAATCATGAATGTCATATGAATATAACAACGTAACCACTTTTTACAATCGTAGAGAAGGAGACGTTGGTTTTATTAAATTATAGGGTACCGAAAATATATAGTGTGGAAGAGTAATATTTGAAAAATTAATTAAATTTGTTAAAGTTAATTTATATATACTAGCTTTTATTACTCCTTCGGATTTATGCTCTACTAAAAATACAACAGAGCTCAAACAATAAAATTTTATGTATATCTTTTACATATATTTATATATTTTTTATCCATAAACTCTAATAAAGTAATTATTTATACATAAATTAAGTTTTTTATAAAAATTAACTTTGTAATTCTAGTCATTTTTATAATATGTACGATTACCAGGATTGTCAAATGTTTAATTTTTTTTTTGAACATATGCTCTATCCGCCAAGGTCCCACAAACAATTTAGTAATTTTAACTGGTTTAACGATGTTTTAAATACGAACAGCAATATAAATTCAAATATTTACAGTTTTAATGATAAGTAAAAGCTTTTCTAAGTAGATTTTACTTGTTACCAATCTTCTGTATATATTTCGTGGTTTACAACGACAGGTAACGTTGTATTGGATTATTCCAAAAAAAATTGTTACAAAAAATCTATTATTTAAGTGAAAATAAACATTAGTTTGAACAAGCAACCAGAAGTTTTAGAGAACGTTATTAATGCAGACCAGTAATGGCGAGATCGGAAACTTAAAGAATCAGATTTTAATAGACGTTTAAAACTGCCTGGAAGATTTATTAAGTAACCTTTTAACCGATACTGAATAAAAAATTGAAAATGATTTAATGGATTATGCCGTTGTTTTAGACCAAAGAGGGGAATAGGGATAATACCTCCTCTATTTTGGTAGGGACGAAGAAAAGGTGGTGTAAATTGGTCTCTTCTTGCACTATTATAACACTGAATAGGATATATCTTTCTAGACCATGGTAGGATCCGAGTAGGCATAAAGCGAATACACCCACTGACCCTTGAAATCTCATGTTTGAGAATATGAATTTAGTTATTCCATTACAAATAGTATATAAAAAAAATTTTTCGAAAACCATTAAGACAAACGTGTTCGACCTACTTTAAGGAAGAAATCAAGGCTTTTTTGGGTCTGTGTACCTTGTAGGAAGAGAAGAGGGTTAATTGAGTTCTGGGCAAATGATGGCAGAAGTTCAAATATTTTCCAGTTACCATGTCATTAAGGAGGTTTAGAATCTTAATGTGAACTATCAGATATGACAACATCAATACAGGCAATAAAGAAAAATTGAAGATAAACTAACAGCTACTCGGGTCGTTTTTTTCACACCTAATCAGATTTGAAAACTTTATTACTTTGTAGGAGATTAAATGAGGCTAACTGTAATTTTGGTAGCTATCGAATAAAATGTGGGTTTTTGGATGAACTTCCTGATTGACCCGGCGGATGTGAAACAGGAACTATTGCAGTAAAATTTAACTTCCTTTGTGACCAATGCTGAAACTTTTATACGACGCATATAAAAATATATGCAGGCGCTTAACAGGATGGCCCTTATAAAGTTAATAACAACAGCCCAGTTATTACTTAAAGATATTTCAACTTGTACAGGTTAAGGGGAATTAATATTATGAACTGTTGATTTACGAGTTTCGATGTAGTCGAAAAACTTTTTAAAGACAATAGGTTACAATAGTTAGGGGAATAAAGTTAAATAAAAGGGATGTTCCTGTATATTATGAAACAAGTAGAAAGCAGTGATATACCCGTAGCCACAGATAGCTTTGTTATGCTCGCACAAAAAAAGAAGTTTTCTAAAAGTTTCTTATCCCCAAAGGTATTGACCGAATTGATGCTCTACAGGTGACCAACAAAAGTTTAAATTGTCACATATTACAATAGTACCAAATGCGGAGTTGACGTAAAATGCAATACGGTCTCATTATATTACGTGGTCAAAGGAACAGGGGCTCGACCATTAGTAATTTTATTTAGTAGCTGCCCTTAATTCACTCATTATTTTTGGCATAATAATCCAACAACTAAATGAGCCAAAAGTGGTAGGATTAAAATTTACTAGTCAAAGCAATTGTGGCTTAGAGCTGTGAGCATAAATTTACTAGAACTAAATGGCCGACAGTGGTAGGATTAAAATTTATTAGTCAAAGCAACTGTGGCTTAAAAAGCAGTGAGCATAAATTTATTCGAAGGCATACGTCGGTTGGCAACAAAGCGAGCAGAAGTAGTTAAGAATTTTAACCAATTTCTCCAATTCGATACTTTTGCAGTCTGGAGCACATCAAATGCCTACTGTATCGAGAGCAGAATTTAGGCCTGAGTTGTTCTATTTTTTGCAGGAAAGATGTTTTAAGTTTTTCAGTATTTTTATATTTTGTTATGATCCAAGTATGCAATGCAAATAAAACTCTTATTTGCCAAACTCTATTTTTGTCGCTATCCTGACATTAAAAAAAAAAGAGATTTATAAACTTTGATGTGGTTTCTTTAAGTATTATCTACTAATTTTTCCTTTAATTTTCGTTGTGTCCTTAAAGGGTATCCGAGATCTTGGATATGAGAGTTTTTAAATATTAAAAACTGTGGTCATTAACTGTACACAGTTAGTTGAGGGCTTATATTAGAAATTACGTATATATAACTTGGAAAAATTTTTTCTTTTTTTTCGTGGTTGTGCGATGGGCTGCTTTCCTGCGTTTAATAGCGTTACTGGGCTAGTAAATTATTGTTTGTGCCCTGACACTATCTGCTTTAGCTGAAGTATATAGTAAAAAATATAGTTTCTCTATTGTATAATTTTCGTTATCTTCGGTCACTAAACCAGATGGTGTCAGTGCACGACATGTCAATAAATGACCTAAAATAGCGAGTGGTAAAGAATTGACGCTTTTCCGGTAGACAAATCAATAATGATGCTACTGTAATTTTTAGCACCCTTTGGCTCACTTGGAGTAAATCATCTTTTTTTTATATAAATCAGCATGTCAAATGGGTATAAATAGAATATTCGAGATTACACTCAAATAAACCAAACCATATACACATATGTATATAGCTATTCGCAAAATGCGAATGACGGAAAGTTTATTCGATTATTCCTGACTGAGTACTGGAGTATTCGAAAATTAATAACTCGATCGAGCACCAGGGATAGTCATTTCTAAATAAATAAATAAATTTCTCTTTCTTTCTGCTTGTGTTCGTCCGTTTGTTATTTTGTTCGTTTTGGGGCTTCAGTCCATAAGTCTGGATTGGTCCGTATTGTAAATAAATGTAATTGTTAGAGATTCAGGTTACAGGTCTAGAACGTAAAAGTACATAGATCATTTATAAGATGATCGTTCTAGTAATTAATTATTTTAAAAAAGTTATTTGTAATAATTTAGTTAATAGAGGATATCTTTAATGGATTAAGACCGTATTTTAACACAGGCAAGGTTCACTTGGGAGCCCGTGTAATAAGCGACTCAAATAAGCGACAAAGGGTATGTGTCTAATCTGAATTAGTAGATTGTTCAAAAATCCAATCAAAAGGTCGATTATTAAAGAAAAGAGTTAGTTGGATTAAGCTTTGTTCACACCTTCAATGAGTAGCCCCTCTGACTTGCGCTGTTTGCTGAGCGATTGTACGGATTTAGCTGTTACAGAAGTTTTTCATGATAATTCCTTAGAAGAAAAGTAATGTAAAGCGCTTTGTTTCTAAATTTCATATTTATTTAGATAAATAATAATTATTAGACGAAATCTTTGTTCGATTTACCTCAACTCCTATCGTTAATAATGATTTATCTTTTTTTTTAGTTTCACGGGTTCTCTATCACACCAAGATATCCGCTCTTTATCTTTATCTTTAAAGTTTACTTTGTTTAAAAACCATGGAGTAGCTCCCGGTGACACTATTTCAATAGTCTTTTCAAATGGAATTAGCTTTATTATAGCTTTTTTGGGTAAAAGTGTTAAAGTTATTAGTTTCCCTTTTTTAGCTTTTTTTTATTGAATAATAATAAATTTGTTTTAGCTATAGTATCTGGTGGTTTAATTTGTGCTCCTTTAAACCCAACTTACTCCAAAGAAGAGTTTTTATATTACTTGAAGGATATAAATCCGAAATTGATAATAAAATCGGAATTCATGGATAACGTCTAAATTTAGTTTAATGATAAAAAAACAGTTATTTTAAACGTATTTAAAGGACGTGGCGATTTCTGAAGCAGCAAAAAGCTTAAAAATTACATTGACCACTTTGTTTACGAAACCTACCAAAGCCGCCTTAAATTATTTCTTTCGAGGTTCCCGCATTGTTCTAGATATAAATCATATTAAAATCATTTTTACCAGACGAAGGGGTCCTCGTTAATTTAAAAAAGTTAAACGCTCCCGCAGAAACACTACAGGTGTCTCTTATATTTCAATAACTAAAGAGAATAGTGGCTTAATATTCTTTTGCTGCAGAAATTAGAGCAAATTAACCCGGGAGACATAGCGCTTTACCTCCACACCAGCGGCACCACAAGTAAGCCGAAGGGTGTCCCACTCAGCCACTACAATCTTGTGTCCAGTGTTAAGAATATAGTGGCCACTTATGACTTAACAAAACTGGACAAAGGCCTGCTGGTTATGGTTAGACAACCTGTTATAACTAAGAAGAATATTATTAGAACGCTGTAAAGCCTTTATTTCATGTTCATGGGCTGGTGTGCGGACTCCTCGCTCCTCTCTTCTCTGGTGGGAGTCTGGTTATACCAGGTGCCTGGCCCTAGTAGAGTTCTCTAAAACCACTTATTTTAATAATTAACACAATTCAAGTCAATGGCCAATTTAGCGCCTCCAACTTTTGGAACACGGTCGTCGAGCACCAAGTCAACTGGTATACTTGCGTGCCAACCATACACAAGATTTTGCTCCTTCGCTCCCATAAAGTACAAACTATGCTTTAAAAAGCCGTGTAACATGGTTGTAAATGATGCTTTGAAAAGGAATATCCTGCCTTCAATTCCCCGAACTTACGTTTTATCAGGAGTAGCTCTTCAACCTTGTCGCCCTCAATTCTTTATGAACTTGAAAAAACCTTTCACGTGCCAGTTCTGGAGGCTTACTCTATGACAGAAGCTTCACATATGATGACTTCTAACCCTCTTCCCTCTAAAGGCCTTCATTTGCATCACACTTATCTAAAGTTCTGCAAGTTCCGTAAAATTAGTTTATTAGGTCAACGCAAAGCCGGGACGGTGGGGAGCGCCGTTGGGGAGCTCGTAGTGTCCGTGCGTGACGAAGTTAACAAGGAAGTGGCCACCGGGGAAGAAGGGGAGGTGTGCGTAAAAGGGCCCAGTGTGTTTTCAGGTTATAAGGATAACCCGGAAGCCAATGAAGAGGGGTTCATGGAAGGCTGGTTCCGCACGGGAGATCGAGTATTTAAAGTATTATTGTATTGATTTCAAAACAAAAACAGTTTTCAGGGAAGTAAAGATCCAGCTGGCTTCATCACTCTTACAGGGAGAATAAAGGAACTGATTAACAGAGGAGGAGAAAAGGTCATAAGAAATGCTTTATTTTAAAATTGACCTCCGCCTGATTTTGAGGGTTACAGATTTCTCCTAATGAAATTGATTCAGCCCTGCTTGAGTTTAAGGGCGTGATAGAGGCGGTCAGCTTTGGCGCTCCAGACCCATTATATGGAGAAGTCGTGCATGCCGCTGTAGGGTTTCGTTTTTATAAGATTTTACCACTCAAGTTAAGCTGTGATATTTTATTAGGTTGTCATAAAAGATCCAGAGGACCCTAAAAAAATGGAACTTCTTTTAAAGGAATTTCTTCTAACAAAATTAGCTCCATTTAAAGTTCCTCAAGTGTTTTACTTCAGTAACGACCTCCCTAAAACAGCTACAGGAAAAATACAGCGAAAGCATATAGCTTCCAAATTTTTAAATACGCAATAAACACTAACTTAGCTGAGCACTTTGAATTTGTTTATAAAATAATTTAAACCAAAAATTGAAAACGTAAGTTTAGAAATCTATATATTAGAATAGGAAAAACACCTGTCTAAATTGTAAATTGGTAATCTCTATTAAAACAGACCCTATGGAGATCAATTAGTTAAAGGAGGAGACCTGCAGTGGAAATAATGGGCATTTTTTTTTTATTTTATCAAAAAAATAATTTCTAAAAAAGTTTTTCAAATAAAAGTATTAAACTTTTTTGAGAATAAAAAAGCTGTGCAGAAAGTTAAATGTAAATAAAATTAATGCTATACCCATGTTAATACTCTACTAAAGTGTATATTTTCCTTTATAAAATATATCATCATGTAAATAATCTACAAATAAGTATATTGTTAAAAAAATTATAAAGTTTTATAATTCGTTTATTGCTCTCCCTCTTCTCGCGGAGAATAAAACTTTGGCAGGAAACTTACCATCTTTAATCACATTATTAATGATTTGTTCAGGTGCTCGGTTTGCTAAGAATTTACATTATTTTGCTTAGTTTCGCATACATTTTCCAGAAACTATCATTTAACCATTCTATATATATGTATATATATGTGTGTGTAGATTTAAAAAAAATAAGTGTAACAGGTTAAATACGTTTCGACAGTTGTCGTCGTATTTAACCTGTGTTATTCTAAACCCCCACTTCGCGTAGTTCTTAAGGTTTAACTATAGCGCCTTAATTATATAATAAAAGGAAGGTAGTTGTGGAACGCTTTTACAGAACTACTCTGCGCTACACCCGACCGATAAGATCTCTCGAGCGAGCACGTCGTCTTGAGGTTTTTTTTATACGCTGCTCCTGCGCATAAAATTAACATGTTTGCAACCAGTATAATTGACTCTTGCGCGTTAAGTACACGCATGCTTTAAATCAAAAAATTTTTTAGTTAAGTGTGTTGTATATTAATCCGTGACTCCTCAATAGGCTCATTTAACAAAAAATGCACATAGTTAATATCTGTTAAAGCGCAACACCTATTTTAAGTTCGTATGAAAGTTCTTGAGCCCACTGGCCGTTTGGATTCCTACTAATTCATTTTAAAAGCAGCATTAGTTGCATTCCGCAGCGTATCCTTACGGACGAAGTAAGGGGCGCCGACCATTAGTGGCAGAAGCTTGTTTTGCTGATCTGCAGGAATGCAACTGTTACTGGTTTTTCGTACGTCCCCAAGCCACAGATGCGTAGGCCATTATCAATGTACGCCTTCTTCAAAAGGCGGAGTTAACTGCGCTGGGACATTGTGCTTTTTGTACACAACAGCGGGTAAAGTGGATGGGTTGCAGATTTAACCTTAACGGGAAACAACAATTTCTAAATGATACCGCCAAGTTAGGCGCTTATCGATGATGACGCCCAAGTGCTTGAACCTGAGAACCTCATGGAATATTTGACACCTTCCAGGGTAAGAGGCGGTAGTCTAAGCAGTGCATTTTCTTGCACTAAGAGAATTGCTCTGCATTTCTTTGTATTAATGGTTAATGCCCCCTGCCGGCGCCAGTTGGCAAGAGTGTTCCAAATAGATTTTTTGTGTTGCCATTATAATAAAGGAAGGCGTTCGGCGGAGGGCACGTAAACTGCAATAACTTCGACGTATAATGCGACGCGCATGTAAGGATTTGCAGGGATGGAGTGTAATAACACTAACAATAAAAAAAGGAAGAACAAAGAGAGTGGGAGTCAGAGTTTATTGCAGGCAATTTAGCCATATATATATATGCCTTTACAAAAGGTTAAAAACTTCATTAAATCTATATTTGTTTAATTTATGTTTAAGATTATTTGTATAAATTTAATCTGGTTCTGTCTAAAAGAAAAGTTTAAATTAGAAATTGCCATTAGTTGAAAATCTTCCTGCCAAAAAAAAAAAATGTTTAAAAAAGATTGTATGTGGTTGGCTAATCTTTATATAGTTAATTTTGTAAGGTAAACTGTTTGTTCATGTGTATGTCTGTTAGTGTTATAAGTATATTTATTGACAGAATGCCATGCCTGTACAGCGTGAAAGGGTGGGTGTGAACTCAAAGAGCTTTGCAGGACACCAGCTGTTAATCGACGGTGAGACGGCAGCGCAGTGCCAATGCTTCATCGAAAGGTGCGTACGCATAAAATCGGTGCAAATAGGTGTAGGGGGCTATACGGAGTACCTAATGCGCGTAGTTTGCGTAAAAGACCCACGTGTTATATAGGGTCAGAAGCTTTTTCAACGTAGAGAAAGACGACTGTAAATTTCTTTACAATTGAAGGTCCGAGTTGCCAACTCAACAAAGCGCATAAAGCGCTTCGTTTTTTCTTCACAATCTTCCGATCGGCGTAGTAGAACAGCCTCTGCAGTTTTGCCCGTTAATGAAAATAGGCTAACGGGGCGATATTTGCTGGGGTCTGAAACGTGTAAAGTCTTAAATAGCATCATAGCATTGGTTGTCTCCCTTCGTGTTAGAAAGGAACCAAGCGATGTCGCAGAAGTTGCACAATAGGAAAAAAAGTTTATCGTCACTGGCAGCAGCTTTAAAGTCGCTTCCTGTCGCTAAAGTACAGAGAATGTAACGGCTATTTCATTAGCTGTGCTCGGTGTAATAAGTCCCTAGCCAACGGTTAGGCACTGCGAGATAGTTTGCAAAGAGCGCGCCTTGCTTTCGTTGCTTCACGCAGAATTGGCGGAGATAGGTGTGGCAGTCGTTTTTAATTCGTTTGACAAAGTGCCGATTAAATGTCCGTTTTCCTCTACCGCATCAGACATTTTCTGCAGTGTCCCCTTTAGGGGACTATAGTAAAAAGCGGTCAGCGACGTTTGAAAATAAGGTTCGTTAAACCATCTGGCACACGACCAAGACGATACGTTACTTAGAGGCTGGTTGCGCGGCGGCATGGGCAGCTGTCAGTACGTTCTCATAACTATTAACTGCGTTCTTTTAAATGTTATTTGCGTTACTCATCTGGTATATATAAACGAGTTCTAGACCACCCACTCCACCCGACCCCACGCAAACACGAGGGCTCTCTAGTTGTTTGCTGGAACTTTGCGGCGTATTATATATACTATTAAACATAAAGCACATATTGCAAAACATAAGCATTTTGAAAATTCCGTCAGCGTACACTAGGCCAAAAAAAAGTTGCCAGGTGTCACCATGTCTAAGCAAGCTTTTAATAAAGGTAGGAAGCAAGGTAATTTTAGGTGGCGTCAGGCGTTTGCCAACAATTCCGATGCTTAACTGAGGAGGAATTAATATAATTTTTGTTTCTATAAAGAGCTATGCAAAAATAGGTAGTTATAAACATTTTATGCGTTTCTTTTACTCCTAAATTTTTGTTTGACGGAAACTTGGGTCACTGATATTGTGCACAGCAATATGCATTATGATAAAACACAAGGTGGTATTAACTGTTTCTCTACTTGTTCTCTATAGATATCTTACAAGTGGGTTTATCCTTTGAGGAAGTATAAAAAGCTGCAGAAAGTTGCAAAAATTGTTAATAGAAGAGAAATAATGGTATGGTTATGCTTATCAAAATTTATTGTCTAGTTTGATATAAATGGCATGTTTTACTACAGTTTTTAAAAATGCAGTGATATTACTTTTTACGGGAAGAGTGCATCTTTATAAGCCAAATGGTGAGAAATTAAGTAAATTTATATACACACTTTCAAGATTCCTTAAAAAAAAAAGAAAGATATCAATAAAATAATATAGGTAATTTTTTAAAGAAGATATAGATAATACTTGAAATAAAGATCTTACCATGGTTTGTAAAAAATTCTAAGAAAACATATGAAGGAGCCTTTGAGACACCGCAAAAATTAATATCTAGTAGTTTATAAATTAGAAAATTCACAATATAGTAAATATGTTCATTAAAACAATAAATAATTTTTCAAGTTTTCATATTTATTGACCTTTTCTTATTGTGCAGTAAGAAGTAAGGGCTTCAATCTGTAAAATTTAAAATAGTTCACTTTTAAAAAGCAAATTCATTGACCCTTTTTCCTATAAGTGAGGTCGCACTGGGGAATGTTTCCTTTAAGTAGTGGGGGATAAAGTGTCTATACTTAGTTGGTTTCTTTTTTGCTAACAGCTATTTAAAATAGTATTCACTCATTGGTATATATTTAGTATGACCATTTTAATAGCAAATAAGTTTAGTTAATTAGGAATCACCCATTGCGGTTTCACGTGTTATAATACCTTACAGAGTACTGGGGGATAATTGTTAATAGTGCCATATAAAGTTTGTGTAGATATCGCCTACACTTCTCTTTTGGTGGAGCTATCTATATAATAATTATATAATTAGCTTTATTAAAGCTATCTACAGAGGAAGGTGTACTATTAGTATTTATCTTATTTTTTTTTAAAATAGTATGTTTACTGAATCTCAGTCTAGTACTTATGATCTTTTTTCTGGAAAAGATGAAGAACAAATAAAATTTATGGAAGTAAAATCATATTATAAGTCTTGGTTTTTTCTTAATTTAATATTTTTTTAGGAATTGTGCGTCCAGATAGATTATTATGATAACGTTGTAGGGGGTATTACAAAAAAAGAGAGCCATTTAATGGATAATATAAGCAAAGGTACAACTTTTCTTAAAGGCTGTTGTTAACTTAATTCTATTAATTATTTAGGGATTCTCCATCGTGCGTTTAGTGTATTTTTATTTAATTCTAAAGGGGATTTGCTTTTACAACAACGTTCTAACAAAAAAATAACTTTTCCTAATGCTTTTACAAACACTTGTTGCTCTCATCCTTTATATTGCGAAGAAGAACTTGAAGAAACGAACGCCATTGGTTTTACAATATATTATATAAACTTTCTGTAAGTAGCGCAAAAATTTAATCATTTTTTTATACATTTTATAGGGATTAAAAAGGCTGCTCTTAGAAAATTAGAGCACGAGTTGGGTATAAACTTGGTTTCTGTAAAGTATTATTTTAAATTTTTAATTATTAATCAGGGGTTGCAAAGAATAAACTCTCAGTAAACGACATTAATTTTATTACTCGAATTCATTATAAAGCTGCCTCGAATGATATTTGGGGCGAGCATGAAAGTGTGCTTTCTTTATTTATAAGATCTATGAATAGTATATTTATGTACATTATTATAACAAACTTTACATTCTATATTTATTGTTTAAGTTGATTTTTTTAATATATTTATCGGTTTTTTACACAAGAATAAGTTTGATATAAAGTTTTTTTTTATATATGAATAGTAAATTTACTAGTTTTTGCTTATAGTCGACTACATCTTACTTGTGCAGAAGGATGTGGATCTTAAGTTGAATCTTAATGAAGGTTATCTTGTTTTCGCCTTATATGTTTTGGACTTACTGTTTTTTTCTAGATCTTAAATTTTTAACATAATTTATAAAACCTTAGTTAACTGCTGCAAGTACTTTAGTAAAGAACAGTTGAAAGAATTTCTTGACACTTCTGATAATAATGGAGTTATAATAACGCCTTGGTTTAGACTTATCGCGAACACCTTTTTGTGGAATTGGTGGGAAGATCTAGAAAAAACTAAACGATCACCGTGTGATCCCGCTATACACAGGATGTGCTGAATATATGTATATTAATAAATTATCTTTACTTAACCATTTTACTTTACCTTTTTATAATCAAAGGTAAACAGTAATTTTGACTTTGAAAACTAGTTTAGTGCAAGTTATTTTTTGCATATTGCGCGGAGAAGCTGGCAATAATTTTGCTTATTTAGGAGAAAGCATTGACTCCGCTTAAAATTGGATATGGCTTGCAGCTAATTAGTTAGCAGGCGTTATTTTATTCTGCATATGAAAAATGTAAACGTTAATTATTTTTCAGAGTTTTCTTTAAATATAGAAATGTTATTATACTTGTATTTTAGAAATCATCAATCAAAGGTGTTTTGGACAAATTTTATGGCTTTGCGGCCACTGAGGCTTTATTCAACAACCTTGAACTATAGCTTTCATGACCGAGATTTTTTCAGTACATCTATAGTAAAAATTTGGATCACTGTGCTTTGCCATATACATATCGTAGGGAAAGTAAGACATCTTTAGAAGCGTTTTGAAATTTATTTGAGTTAATTAAAAGTGGTGTTCAGATGCTATAGTCCTGCGCAATCTATTCTTATTACGTTATGCAAAGAAAGTTATAGAAAGGTTAGGAGACGTAAAGTGCATTCCACAAGAGCTAGTAAGAAGAGTAGCACGAGACCACCTTTATCGAAGGGTATTAAATCTTACAAACTTCTGATAAGACATGCAATACTTCACAAAAAAAAGCCTACCCCAACTTGAAAATGTTCTGGGTTCGAAGTATATTTTGCTTTCTAAAGATTAATATTTTGCGATAGTTTAGTATTGATAATTATTCAAGTTTAAGTGAAAACTTTAAGAGTTCTTTAAAATTAAAATGCTAGTATTCAGAGAGTTAAATAAACTATTTTTAATAAACTACACCTCACAAAGAGTTTAAAATTTGAAGCCTTAATAACTTATACTTTTTTCTCTTTATATAAACTTTTTTAAATTTTAGTTAAAATTTGTAAAATTTTTGTTAAGTTTATAGCGGTTAAGACCTTTCCTTTTAGAAAAAAGGAAAACCAGAGATCTTATTTGATAAATCTATGCTTAGATAAATAGGGTACATAATTATAGTTATGTGTTAAATAAAATGTAATTCTATATGCAATAAATGGAAAGAACTGTTCAAAAATCAGGGAATGAAAAAAACGGATAAAAGGGGGAAAGAGAGAAAAAAATTACTCTTTGTTAAAAAGCATTAATTATATAATATAAAACATGGCAATAAATATACAAGAAAAACAAGAGACAATTTTTGAAAGTCTTAACAGTTACAAAATTAAATAGGTACAGTTTGTTATTCCATGGGAATAATTTCACATTATTTGTTATATTTACCTGGTGCTCGAATGTTTTAAATTAGCGTACAAATATACCTTAAGAAAATTCTTATCAAACGATTTATCTGAAATACTTTAAGTTATCCTATTTTGAAACCGCCGACCCCTTCTTAAGTGAAAGCAGTCTGTGGAAATTTTTTCAGCGGCGTAGAAGCTGGTGTGAGTGTCTTTAGAAGCTTACGACCATTGCCCCTTTTTATCGCTAAGGGGTAGCGTCGTTATACATTTGCCAGCGCAGTAGGCATTAGCTAAAATATCGGTTGGTGCCATGGTTGTTGTTGTTGCAAGTCAACGTCAGATAGGTTGTTTACGCGCTCAAGTTAGTAGCGTAGGAGGGCATCAAAATCTCAGTTAAAGGTAACAAGATGCATTTAATAACACAACAGAAGGTATTCAGTCAACTGTTTACATATCTGTTAATAAAACAACGATATTTATACGAAAACACACTTGCCGTAAATTATAAGCAAATATATATATATATATTAAAACTGCATAGGGTCATAAACATAATTGGCAAATTATTAAAGATGGAAACCAACCAGGCAAAAGAATCTATAGGGATCTAACACCCACCGCAAACATCGCTATACAATTGAAGAAGTAATTTGTGATTTAACTGACTAGTAGTTAGAATCTCTTCCAACAATTACTTTAGCGGTCTACTAGCTCTTTTTAAAAAGTATAACTCTACGCCAGACTTATGACTAATTTTGCATTCGTTATCTACTTTATTACTAACTTGGCAAGTATTTTATTTTTAAATAGACTTTCGTTTCCTCTTTTTATAACGTCATTCTTCATGTAGATATCTTAATAATTTAAGACTTCTTCCTTGCTTTTTAACGAGGGTAAATTGTTTAAGCCTACCATCAAATTATTTTTAGTGAACAGGGGCCCACGGCTATATTGATCTATTAAGAATTTTTTTATCCAGCAATATAACGTGCTTAAACTTATATATTCGCTACACTCAAACTTAAGATGAAGATATCTTTTCCGGTCTATAATGCTTGCGTACTTGAATTTGCCTTCATAAAATTGTGATTTTTTTCATGTACCTTTTCGTTTTTTTATTTCACAGATAAACTGCAGGAATTTTTTCGTTCGTTTCTTAAAAAGGCATTTAAAGATCATTGCACTTCGGGGTTTGACTAGTTAAAGTTTTTAACAATACTTTTATAGGATCCGTCCAAATTCCTTGATACGGTGTAGTTAATAAGTCAAACTTCGGAGACTAGATTCATTTATAAATTGCATATTAAAAATCATCCTGGTGGGTTTGTCTTGCAACCTCAGCTTCCTATCTTTAGCACCCAGGTGGTGCCGTCATGCGTGGAGTGTTAATTCGCATAGCTTTCGTCCAATTTGAGCCTTGACCACCTGTTTTATGCAGCGTGCTTACAGTTGCAGAGAGGGGCAAGCATAACTCGTTGAAGCAGCGAATCTTATGTTTTTAAATTTAAAAAAAGCAATTGAATGGTGCGGTAGGTTTTACGGCCCTGGAATAGCGACGCCTACCCTTTGCTTCATAAAAAGCCAAAGAGGTACGGAATTTTGTAGAGTATTAAAGTTCACCCATTTTAAGAAGCGATGCAGCTATCCTGCTAGCTCGACTTCTTGTATAGCGCTTTGATAGCAGTTCATTGCAAAAGTCATAGGCAGTGTAGAGGATTTCTGTCCAACCATTATTGGTGGTCAGTTTTACGCGTTTGTTCAAAACTTTTCGTGAAGGTGGGGGGGGTGTGTTTAAAGGAAAAGGTTCTCTATGTTTGCTTGCTGAAGAGAGCAAGGCCTTTAGGTTTTAATTTTTTGGTTGAAGTTCCTTTACTACATCTGTGGTGAAAATACAATGAAAGTTGCTTAGATTAGTTTGAAAAAGCGACCAAAACATCATGTCACTTTCCCGCCCAGGTTAATCACTGGAAATAAATATAAGTCCCTAAAAGTTAAAAAACACGGTGGGCAAAGAAAAAAAAAAGCCCACCAACCAGAGCTATAATAATGCTCCAGTGATAGTGGTTTTAGCCTTACTTAAATAATTAATACTAATTACCAGCTGATTATTATTCTTTTCTTTAATGAGTTTAGAGACAGAAACCCCACAAGAATCCACTAAAGAGATATTCTAAAGTGAATACACCGCGGTCAAAAATGTAAGGAGGACAAAAAAACATGAGTAATATACATTATAGACTTAAGAATATAATTGCAACTATAATTGCAACGTAGTCTCTCTCTCTAGCTTTTAAACTCAGCGCACGCCATCAGGATGGCAAGCACACTCAAGCGGAGGGATTATAAAGATTACACGAACAAGAGTCCCACGTGTGCAGAAATTATTTAGATAGCAGAAATTAAAGATTTTTATAATTCTAAAAAATCTTAAAAGGTATTTTACATGATTAAAATAATTTTTTTTTTCCGCTTACTACTATCTATCAAACCAATCACTTAAAAGAGTAGAGCAAAGAGAGTTAAAAGACACTTCTGAAAACAAGTTACGGTAATACAAAATTGATCCTTTATTTGATAAATGTACTTGTAAGATGCTATCGCGTGTAATAGTATCCGAATATAATATTAAACTATAGCAATATATTGGAAAATCCTCACACGGGTGGTTAAATTACTCGGCAAGGACCTGTGTTATTAGGGTATTTGAATTTTTAAACTCTTTTATAATCAACCAGTTCAGATATATGTATTATATATATATATAAAGCACAAACACAAGGGCTTGACGAAACAAAAACTCCAATATAGAAGGCGGCTGCCTGTGAACATTTACTTTATAATAAAACTACCTTTCATATAAACATAAGAAAGCTAAAATATGGGAGTTGCCTTAAATTATAAAATGGGATCTATTTCTTAAGATTTGTCGAGAGGACTAAAAAGGTAGGACTTGATTAGGTAGAATTGCCATCGTAGTGGAAGGCTGAGTATATATATTTCAAATTAAATACTATAGGAAATTCGATCGGGGTTAAAATATGCAAAAATATTCCAAGGTCGTTTTACTTTTCTAGGTTGCCCTAATAGGAGAAAAATTAGTATACTTTGAGAAACCCCTAATGGCCTGTACATATATAAAATTTATCAAAAGAAAATTCTGTACTTCTTGAGAACTATCAGCTCCATTTTATTACTTTAAGGTAGGCGTGAGGCAAAAAAACTTTTTGGCTGCACCTATTCTGATGAAAGCGCTACCCTTAAGAAGGCACGTGAAGAATAGCCTAGCAAGATAACAAGTAATTTTGTCCCCATTCTTTTCTGACCATTAGTACATGAAGTAAACCAAGAGGGCATAACTGATATTAACTGGTTGCAACGATGTGTCGTGATATTATTAGCACAAAAAGGCAATTTTCCTTTGTAAGATTAATGTTAAAGTGATAAACTAGTGATTTTATTTTTTCCAGCATGTTTCCATTATTTTATTATTCTTTTTTACCTTACTCGTTAACAGCTTTCTCGTCTATTTTGGTTCACCAGATCTTGTTTATAGTTACGAATCTTTTTTTAGTACCCCTAAATCCTCTACTAAAGTTAATTTTGTCTAATATTACATTCCATATTCTCAAAAAACTTTTCAATTACCATTTTTAACCATGTCCTTAATCTACTTTTACAATAACATATAAAACCGACTCACTTGAGCGCAGTACCACCCATTTTTAA